GAGAGAGAGAGAGAGAGAGAGAGAGAGAGAGACACACACACACACACTCAACAAACCCATCGCACCCAGGAGAGAGAGAGAGAGAGAGACACACACACCCCATCGTACCCAGGAGAGAGAGAGAGAGAGAGAGAGAGAGAGAGAGACACACACACACACACTCAACAAACCCATCGTACCCAGGAGAGAGAGAGAGAGAGAGAGACACACACACACACACACTCAACAAACCCATCGTACCCAGGAGAGAGAGAGAGAGACGCACACACACACAACAAACCCTTCATACCCAGGAGACAGACAGACACACACCACAAACCCATCGTACCCAGGAGAGAGAGAGAGAGACGCACACACACACAACAAACCCTTCATACCCAGGAGACAGACAGACACACACCACAAACCCATCGTACCCAGGAGAGAGAGAGAAACACACACACACACCAGAAACCCTTCATACCCAGGAGACAGACACACACACACAACAAACCCATCATACCCAGGAGAGAGAGAGACATGCTACAAACCCTTCATACCCAGGAAAGAGAGAGACAAACCGCAAACCCTTCATACCCAGGAGAGAGACAGACACATACAACAAACCCTTCATACGAGAGAGAGAGAGACACACACACACACACACACACACACATTCATTCATTCAATTCCCGGGGGGGGGGGCGAGTGAGAGACACACACACAACAAACCCTTCATACCCAGCAGAGAGACAGACACACACACACACACACACTACACACCCTTCATACCTGAGAGAGACATACACGGTACAAACCCATCATACCCAGAAGAGAAACAAACACACACACTACAAACCCTTCATACCTAGGAGAGAGAGAGAGAGACACTACAAACCCATCATACCCAGGAGAGAGAGACAGACACACACTACAAACCCTTTGTACCCAGGAGAGAGAGAGACACACACACACACAACAAACCCTTCATACCCAGGAGAGAAAGACACACACACACACACACAACCAAGCCATCGTACTTGAGAGCGAGCGAGACAGACAGACAAGCTACAAACCCTTCGTATCCAGGAGAGAGAGGGAGACACACACACACACACACACACACACACACACACACACCCTCTACAAACCCATCGTACTCAGGAGAGAGAGAGACAGACACACACACACCCACCCTCTACAAACCCATCGTACCCAGGAGAGAGAGAGACTCTACAAACCCATCGTACTCGGGAGAGACACACACACAGGCTGTGTCTAGACAGCACCCCTTTTCCGTAAAAGGGATGCAAATTAGACACATCGCAATTGCAAATGAAGCGGGGATTTAAATCTTCCCCGCTTCATTTGCATAAACATGGCTGCTGCTTTTTTCCGGCTCGGGGCTTTGCCGGCAAAAAACGCCAGTCTAGACGGGGATCTTCCGGAAAATAAAGCCTTTTCCGAAAGATCTCTTATTCCTCTTAAAATCAGGAAGAAGGGATCTTTCGGCAAAGGCTTTATTTTCCGAAAGATCCCCTTGGGATCTTGGCTAATCGCCGTAGAGGGCGTAACCGTGAATGAATGCATCGGTCTCGTTCGAATCCAACTACACTTTTGTCCTTCGTAACATGCCCAACAAAGTTGCACTGAAAACGCCCGGTTTGATCCGCTCAGGGGCTTCGTGGAGTCAGTCCGGCGGGTGCCCAGATGCTACCCGCTGTTTCTCATGTGTGAACTGACTCGCCTTGCGGTCCGCACCGGACTAAAAACCTGGGTTAACTGGAACTGCACCTGTGCTGGATCGCAGCCAGCAAAGCAGTTTTCACACTGTGGTTTTAGCTAGCACCTCTTGCCGACAGCTGTTTGCAGCTTGCCACACAGTTGTCTTCGGGGTTGAAATGTTCCAGGCCAGGCCTTTGCGCTTCTGTGATGATTGGGTGGGTGGTTTTTTGGGTGGTGGTGTGTCACTTTGAAGCAGAGGCAGTGAGCAACACCAAAAAACCCCAAACAAACCACCAAACCCAACCACCAAACCCAAACAACCAAAATCAAAACCTCAAACAAACTCGAACCCAAACAACCAAAACCAAAACTCCAAACAAACCATCAAACCCAAACCAAAAAACCCAAACAAAATCAAAACCTCAAACAAAATCAAACCAAAACCCCAAACAAAATCAAACCCAAACAACCCACCAAACCCAAACAAACAAAAATCGAACCCAAACAAACCAACAACCCCAAACAAACAAAACCAAAAAACCCAAACAAACCACCAAAACCAAAAAAATTAAATAAAAAACCCCAACAAAATGAAACCCAAACAAAACCAAAAACCCAAACAACCCACCAAACCCAAACAAACAAAAATCGAACCCAAACAACCCACCAACCCCAAACAAAAATCGAACCCAAACAAACCAACAACCCCAAACAAACAAAACCAAAAAACCCAAACAAACCACCAAAACCAAAAAAATTAAATAAAAAACCCCAACAAAATGAAACCCAAACAAAACCAAAAACCCAAACAACCCACCAAACCCAAACAAACAAAAATCGAACCCAAACAAACCAACAACCCCAAACAAACAAAACCAAAAAACCCAAACAAACCACCAAAACCAAAAAAATTAAATAAAAAACCCCAACAAAATGAAACCCAAACAAAACCAAAAACCCAAACAACCCACCAAACCCAAACAAACAAAAATCGAACCCAAACAAACCAACAACCCCAAACAAACAAAACCAAAAAACCCAAACAAACCACCAAAACCAAAAAAATTAAATAAAAAACCCCAACAAAATGAAACCCAAACAAAACCAAAAACCCAAACAACCCACCAAACCCAAACAAACAAAAATCGAACCCAAACAAACCAACAACCCCAAACAAACAAAACCAAAAAACCCAAACAAACCACCAAAACCAAAAAAATTAAATAAAAAACCCCAACAAAATGAAACCCAAACAAAACCAAAAACCCAAACAACCCACCAAACCCAAACAAACAAAAATCGAACCCAAACAAACCAACAACCCCAAACAAAATCAAACCCAAACAACCCACCAAACCCAAACAAACAAAAATCGAACCCAAACAACCCACCAAACCCAAACAAACAAAACCAAAAACCCCAAACAAACCACCAAAACCAAACCAATGAAATAAAAAACCCCAACAAAATGAAAC